CAGAGAGAGAGAGAGAGAGAGAGAGAGAGAGAGAGAGAGAGAGAGAAAGAAAACAAACTACCAGGTTCAGGACTCAAACTGTGGTCAGCCATGTGGGAATGTTCAGTGCCTTAACCACCATGTCACCTGCTGGCCCCAAACATTTTGATATTTGAATGAAAGTGTGCTGCAGGATTTGCAAATTGGTGGCTTTCAAGCTTAAAATCTGTCCACACTGTTTGCCTGACAGAATGTCTTAAAATATTTGTGTCTAGGTGCCTTTAAGGCTTGACTAGTATTTTCCACCATTCATAAGCTTATTATTATTACTCATTTTGGAGACTCACCACCCAATATGTGCTTCACTCACATTTAGGTGACCTGCTTGACCACTGTAGGCATTTGATTTAGTGACCCTTGGTATGTGTTAAGTCAGATTTTTCACCTGGACAGATAGGCTTCCAAAATCCTCTCAGTGGTGGATGACCTTGAATTCACCAGGTCAGGCTTTCAGTCCAGGACTACCAAAGTATTGTGATGTCAGAAAAGTCATGACACATTTTTGCATAGAAAAAAATACGTCATGACTTTGCCAGTACCCGATATTTTTTCCGTACGTTGATGCCCTCCTGGGAGTTGTGCAACAAAGTGATCCTGTTTTAGTTTCTTAAGATTCAGAAACTGATCAGTCTTAGAGTTCAGAAATCTATGTTCAAAAATAATCACAATGAGTAACATTTATTTGGCATCCTATGCAACAAGTATTGTTTTAAGTGCTTTACATGAATTATTTAGTCTTCAAAACAACTCTAGGAAATAAGTCCTACTATTACTCCCCCTTAGTATAGGTAAGGAAACAGGCACCAAGAGATTGGTAAATTTCCCAAAGTAACAAAGTAGGTTAGTAGGAACTCAAACTGACTCCAGAGCCTACACTTTTATGTTATATATGTATACACACACACACACACTTTTTTTATAGGACACATGAACTTGCTGAAGACAGAGACAGTGAGAGGGAAAGTGAGAAATCACCCCCCTGTGAAGATGGCCATACCGCAATCCCTTCCCCTCCATCCTTCTTCTGGGATTTTGGACACACATGCATATGCCCCTGGTATAATTTTTTAAACCACTGGGTACAGGACTCAAACTGTGGTTGGCCATGTGGGAGTCTATCAAGGTAACCTTTATGTCATCTGCTAGTCCCACACATACACTTTTTTATTTGCACTTGCTAGAGAGAAAGTGAGAAAGCAAGCCTCCAGGTCCGGGACACAAACCATGACCAGCCATGTCAGAGTCCAGTGCCTTAACCACCTGCTGGCCCCATGTTGTTTTGTTTTTAATATGACCTCTGGCTTAATATAATTCAGATAACTTTTTTTTTTTTTGGAGAGATTTTCACTGTAGGGCGTGTGCGCTCGCCAGACAGAGAGAGACATAGAGACAGAAAGCGAGAAATCACCCCCCAGGGGGGATGGTCACGCCACAATCCCTTCTCCTCCATTCTCCTCTCGGGATCTTGGGCACGCATGCACACGCGCCCGGCGTGAGTTTTAAGCCACCGGGTCCGGGACACGAACCGCGGTCGACTACATAGGAGTCCAGCGACATAGCCATTACGCTAACTGCTGGTTCCCTAATTCAGATAACTTTTAATACTCATACTTTCATAAATGATACACATATTCTTGAGTGGCAAATAAATAATGAAAACAAGTTCCAAGTAATTTTTAGAGTCCTAAGCTGATTATCTTAAAAATATAAGATGCCAGCAGGTGGCATGGTGGTTGAGGGTGCTGGACTATCACATGGCTGACCACAGTTCAAGTCCAGGACTTGATGGCTTGCTCTCTGTCTGTCTCTCTCTCTCTCTAGTTCTCTCTGTCTCACACTGGTCAGATTGAAAATAACAATAATGATAAATAAAATAAAGAAAATAATTCTTTAAAAAAACTTTAAAAATATAAAGCTATTTAAAAATCACAATCTATTCATAAATTTGATATAAAAATAAAAGACATAGTTTTGGAACCCTTAATATTTTATGTATATCATTGTTTATAATTTACATACTTTACTTCATTTATATAGACAGAGCAGGCATTAGTATCTTCAATCAGACTCAGGTTAAGTAGCTATCTAAGTTGATTAAGCATCTGTCTGAGAACCACAACCTGTCTATGGCACTCAGTTGTACTCTTTCCATTGCTTCACAATGGTAATTACTCTGGTTTCAAATACTGGATTGGTATTTGATGTGGGATTTACATGCTTAGGGAGGTTTTTGGTTTTCTGTATGTGTGTGTGTGTGTGTGTGTGTGTGTGTGTGTGTGTGTAAATTGTCTGAATCACAGACTATTTAGTTCATTTTAAATTCTTTTTTAAATTTAATTTAATTTATTATTATGTTTTTAAAAATTTGACCAGAGAGAGAGAGGGAAAGTGAGAAAGCAAGCCACCAGGTCTGGGACTCGAACCATGGTCCGCCATGTAGGAGTCCAGTGCCTTAACCACCACGCTACCTGTCAGCCCTTTAGATTCCTGTTATAGGGTACTTTTTTTTTTTTTCCCCAATTCATGGTAATATTCACAACAGAGTAGGGGAGAGTGAAGCACTCTCAACAGAGTCTGATCATACCTTGATCCCCTTTCCCCAGCCCTCCAAGTTGTCAGGATCTTGGACACATGTGTGCACCCGGCATGTTTTCAGGTCAGACAGACTGGGGATCTGAACACACAGCCATGTGGCTTCAGAACTGCAGTTGCTATATTACAGACTGCACCATAGAGGCTGGGTCTTATGTGATACCTTTGTCTTAAATCTTTTTTTCTTAGTTTTTTTGCTATAGGGCATGTGTGCCTGCCAGAGAGAGGGAAAGTGAGAAATCACCCCATCACCACCCTAACTCCCAGGAAGGATGGCCACACCACAATCCTTTCTCCCCATTCTCATCTCAGACTGTTTGGTCATGCTTTCATACATGGCTGGTACGTTTTTCAAGCCATTGGATTCGGGACTAGAACCATGGTTGACCA